CGTCAACGCAGCCGGCTCAGCTCGCTGGTCTGCGTACTGCGGCCGGGCCGCGGCGGAGTCCTTGGGGGTCTCATCGGGCGGTTTGCTGAGAACCTTTGCGGCCGACATGGACAACTCTGGGAAGGAGGCGGAGGCGATGGCACTGCTGGCCGAGGCGGAGCGCAAAGTGAAGAACTCCCAGTCCTTCTTCTCTGGCCTGTTTGGGTGAGAACCGGCCGAGGGGATCGGGACCTAGGCTAAGGGACGCAGGAGCCACGGCCTGAGCGGCGGGCTGAGCACCAGGGTTCGGGCAGCGGGGCCAGGAGATTCCAGGAGGAAGTGACGGGGTCTCAGGCCGCAGAGCGCACGCAGGCAGAGACGGCGGAAGGGACCTGGACAGATGACCCACAGACCGAGGCGACACCATCTTGAGGCTGGGCGGGGGACCCAGGCTGCAGACTGGCCAGCGGGCCGGAGGAGAACTGGGCCGAGGGAAGACGATCTGAGGCCTGAAGGAGACCAGCCCGAGTGGTTGAGAAAGCTGGAGAAGCCACTAGATGCAGGAACCTTTGGAGTTCTAGGGGACTCTGTTTGAAGGGGTCCGGACCGTGTGTTGGGGTTGAGGGCAGCTGCCTGAGGGACCTACCCTTGCAAGGGCGTGTAGGGCGTTTGTATGGACCCACCGTGATGGGAGGACAGCAAAGGAGTCTGACGTTGGCCCAGCAGCTCCGTGCTGAGGGTGATGAGTCTGGGCCCGAGTGTGTGCAGGCGAGTGTGGCCCTGGTTGAGAGTGACTAGTTCAGGAGAATTCAGCGCAAGACCCGGGGTTAGGATGTGGATCCCCGGCGGAGAGGTGGAGACATAATTTGGCTTGGCCAGGCAGGAGGAGAGGCGAAAGGCAAAGATGAGAGAAGGAGGAGAAACAAAAGCGGGGGTCGAGGCCTGCTGTATGGCCACGTGTGAAGGGGATGACTGGTATGTTTTAGAAGAGGACCTGAAGGAAGTTGGGAGACAGAACTAAAACTTGGGCGACGTTAAGTTCAAGTCAGCTCATAAAAGTTGACTGTTCTGGGGCCGGGCATTCAGCTCAGTGGTGCCACCCCTGCCTTTCAAGCAGAAGATCTGGAATTTGATCCCCGGTACAAAAAAAAAAAAAAAAAAAAAAAAAAAAAACTGTTCTCTAGAGAGTCATGGTCACTTAGGAGCATCAAAAGCTTAGATTTTAAAATGTGTCTCTGCCCCTTGCTCGCGGACTTGGCTAGGTTGGGTAATTGCCAAGATAAAGGGGATCATTGGTAAATCTGGCTTTAGACGTTTACTTTGCGTATCAAATATGTGTAAAAAGGCTTAGAATTGAGCCTGGTGTGTGTTTGTCATTGTCACTAATCAGAGGGAAAGGAACTTGGAGCCTGTGAGGAGCTGATGGAGACCAAGGTGGGAGGGGCCTTGAAGAGGTCACAGGAGGGAGAGACAGGAATCCTGCCTGTGACGGGGAGAGGGGAGCTGACAGGGAATGGGAGAGGGGTTCCGGGCCTCGGGGACCTGGGGTTAGAAGGAATCTGAGGCTCGGAGCAGAGGAGATAGAAGGGATCTGGGGAGGATTAGGAGAGGAGCGTGCTGAGGGAGGGTCCTGAAGGGGCCAGGGGGAGGCTGTGGAAACAGGAAGCCTGGGGAAGGGAACGGAGGCTTGGCTGAGAGGAAGAACTGGTAGGTGTGGGGCACAGAGTCAGGAAGCAGGGAAAGGCACATGGGGAAGGAAGGCTGTAGGACTTTGGAAAGACTTTGGGTGGAGGATCTGGGGTTTGGAAGAGACTATTAGGAGCCTGGAAGAGGTTGTGATTTGTGGTTGGGTAATGTTTAGCAAAAGAACTTGAAGAATGCTGATGCATTGCCTGTATAGAGAAATATCCAGGTCTATTGGGCTGTGCTGATTAGGTGAGAAATATTTTATTTTAGAGGCTGAAAGCAGAGAATGGATATGTGGACCTTCCTACTTCGCAGGGGTAGAAGTTCAAGTGCAGTGTTTGCGGGTGGAGCCAAGAGCTCAGTTTTCAGCAGTAGTTGTCCTGGCGGCGCTTGGTATCTCTGGTCCCTTTAGCCCAGAGTCGTGTGCAGTTGGGCTGTGGTCTTCCCTTGAGACACTTGCCACCTGGTTGGAAGGCAAGATTAACACTGCTAAGTGCTCCTGCAGCAAAATTAGCAATGCAAGGAGGGCCTGGGTCTGGTCTTCATGGCTCCTGCACTGAGGAAAAGCTCTGTGGGCTCTGGGTGAGGAGTGAGCTGGGCCCCAAGGAGCCCCCAGGCCATTGCCAAGAGAGCAGGGGCTCCGGAGGGTATCCTGAGCAGCAGGTGCAAAGAAAGGCTGGGCGTGAGAGGACATTCTGCCCCGAGTGATGGGGAGATGGGAGGATTAAGATCCAGAGAAACCAGGGTGGCTTTTGGAGAGGAAAGGTCTCATCCAGGGGCCGCCTAGAAGTTCTGGGGATACACTGGTGGGGAGCAGCACTCCAGGCAGAGGGGACAGCTTGAGCAAGGCCAGAGGTGAGGTAGGCCTCGTGCAGGTTTAACGGGAGCTCCTAGGCTGGACACCCGGTGCCGGGCTGGAGCGGGGTGCGAGCACTGGTGGCTGGTCCCAGCGGATTCCCACTTGCCCTTCAGAAAGGGACTGCAGCAGCTGGGTGGCGGGAGGCCGCTACAGTGACAGCAGAACCAGCAGTTGGTGTTGGCTGAGCGTTCTCTGCCTCTGAGTCAGGCCCAGGCCGGGCACTTCACCTGCCTTCTCTCCTTAGTCCTCGCGAAATCCCCACAGAGGTGGAGGAAGAGGGCTTAGAGAAGTCGGTTTAGCTGCCAGCACCGCAGTCATCAGGAGAGACGCATTCAGACCTGTCCTGCCCACTTCCAGAGCCCTCTCACAGGGCCACCGTGCCGTGAGGCTCCTGCCCATCTCTGAGCACACTGGAGAAGGGTGCTGGCAAACTATGGGGTTCGGGACTGCTACCTCCTGACCACAAAGTACTTGAGAGGGCGAGCAGCTGGGTTTCCAAGAGGCTCTGGGAGGTGCCCTGGGGGAGTGGGCAGGCTGGCCTGGATCCGTGTGTCCAGGAGCCGGGGATGTCCAGAGGTCAGCGGCGAGGACTTTGTCCTCTGTGGGCAGGAGCTGGCCTCGCCCACCCGGGTCAAACATTTCACAGCTGCCTTCGCTCCAGGCCTGCAGTGGGGTGCTGGGGTGCAGCTCATACTCGGTGCTTCTTCCTTCTTTGGGGAAACTCAGCAAGGGGAGCTTCCTGAAGCAGAGGCCTTATTCCTGTCCCATGGGCCACTTAGGCTCGCGCCTGGGAGGGCAGCCTTACTGGGCTGCCTAATGCTAGAGGCGCCAGCAGCCAGCGTTAGGAGATTGATGGTTCCCATACCTTAGGGGAGGGAGCGCAAGCTTGTGCTTCACTCGGGAAGTACCACGAGAGCCATGATGGAGAACGAGGAGAGTCGGGCGCCCTTTTCTTCTTCCTGCTCCAGGTCTGCGTAGGGCCAGAGGCTCCTGTGCTGAAGGGCAGTTCTGTTTTCCCTGGGCTCTCTCTCGTCCCTGACACCTCCCTTAAGAAACCCAGGGTGAGCACTTCTGTCCCCTTGGAGTCCTGCGGTCAGGGTGGTCCTAAGGGGTGAGAAGAGGATGCGCAGAGCGCGGCAGAGTGGGCTTGGCCCTGGGGGTGCCCAGCAGTCAGCAGCATCGTCACTGTCAGCTGTTGTCATCAGAAGCTGGAGGTGCTGGGAAATGGAGTGACAGGGTGTTCTGTATACAAACATTGGGTTCCTAAAGATGAGTGTGTGTTGGCAAGTCAGGTCCTGTGTGAACTGCCCGTGGGCACCAGAAGCCAGGGGCGCTGGCTTTGTGAGCGAAGGCGGCTGCTCGGTTGGGGCGGGCGTCCTTGTACAGGGCCTGCTGGGCTTCCCGCTTTGTGTCCAGCCCCTTCCACCTGCAGGCACCCACAGTGTCCCTTCTAGTGTGTGTCATGTGAGTCACTAAGACCCACAACTGGAACCTAGGTGCCACTTTGCCGGTCTCAGCAGTGAGTCTTTCCTGAAGGCAGGCGAGGATTCTGGGAGCATCTGAGAGAGCCTGGCTTTCTCCATGGGTGGGACCTTGCTGCCTGGTTGTACAGATGCGAAACAAGAGACTTTGTGCATGTCTTCGGAGGAACCGAATCATTCATTCTGGAGCTGTGATGACGTGTGATCCTGTTGGAGAGCACAGGGACCGCGTGTAAGAAACATGAGAGGAGCTGGGCACGGTGGCACATGCCTACAATCCCAGCACTCCGGGAGGCTGAGACAGGAGGATTGCAAGTTTGAGCCCAGCCTGGGCAGTTTAGCAAGAACCTGTCTCAAATTTAAAAAGTTGTGGGGGAGGTTTGGAGGATATAGCTCAGTGTGAAGGCCCTCAGTTCAGCTCCCAGTACTGGGGGGAGGAGCATAACGCAGGGCGTGTAGGCTGGGGGTGTAGGTCAGTAATCGAGTACATGCCTGGTACATGTGAAGCCCTGGGTTCCTTCTCCAAGCACTACAAAAAAAGAAACACAAGAAAAACACAGAAGGCCAGGCAGAGGGGCCGCAGTGGTCCTTGTCACTGAGCTGAGAATCTAGGCGAGTGATGGTCCCACGGATAAAAGCCCTTGTCCCCCACCATCCTCAAGAGCCCCTGCCCCAGTGTGGATAGCAGAATGTGTCCAGGCTGCGGTCTGTGCGGTGCCTTGTAGTAATTTGAATAAACCTGTGTACAGTCTCCTGTAGACTTCAGTCATCTCTGTGTTTCTTGTAATAACTAATATAAATGCTGGAGAAATACTTATTGTACTGCATTGTTTGGAGAATAATGACAAGGAAAAATGTCTGTACATGATCAGTACAGGTGCAGTTTTTTTAGAATAGTTTGATCTATTGTTGGTTGAATCTGTGGACCCTGAACCCACAGATACAGGGCTGACTGTGTTATCAGTGTCTTGAGCTGGGGGCAGGGTGGTGGAACGCCTAGGACTCTGCCACTGGAGTCATGGGCATTGCAGCTCGTGTCTAGATGTCCCCCAAAGCCTCATGCAGTCATAGGTGGGCTTTTCAGAGGTGGCTGGGTCTAGAGTTTGTGATGCTGGGATCGGGGGTGTGTGGTTACTAAATCAGCCCACTGGTTGGCTTGGCGTGGTTCTGGGTGTGGACAGTGGGAAGGTGCCCCCCCCATGAGGCTGCATGGACTGTAATGGACCGGAAGAGGGCTGCTGCGGTCACTTGTCTCTGGCTGCCGTCACTTGCTGCTTTCTCACTACTTCGCTGCTTTGCTGCCTTCTGCTTGCTCTCATTCACTCAGCACCTGTGGCTGGTGGCGAGGTGAGGCTTATCCCTAGAAACAGGAGGAAACTAAGGTAAGCAAGGAGCTGGCGTTGGGCTCCGGCCTTCTGGCCTCTCTCATGGTGGCCCTGGAGTTAGGTTACTGGGAGGCTGGCACCCTCTGAGCTCCTCTCTCCTCCATGCAGAAGCAGCCATTTAAGTACCTGCTTCAGGGCCAGGGAGTTGAATCCCTGGTACCAAATAAACAAATACATAAATACCTGCTTCGTGCTGTGCTTCACGCCAGGAATTGAGTCCGATCGTTTCCACAGCTAAAGATGCTGGGGCTGAGGGTCACCAGCCCGTGTTTACACTCAGCCAAGTGCCAGAATCAGATCTGCCCAGGTCTCTAAACCTTGCCCTTTGCAGTGCAGGTTCTCGGGAGAGAGCCTGAGACGACTTCAGCGCCGGGCGGTTTGTTTGGGGTACTTCGTCCTTTTGTCCCAGGTGAGCCCCTACCGTGAGGGTTTAGCTCTTGATGGTGCCACAGGTGCAGGGGCCACGGGGATCCTGAGCTCTGTGCCAGTGCCCTCAGCAGAGTGGCAAGGCCGGCAGCTCATGCCACTCGTGCCTTCACTGTGTCACATCCCTCTGCCTTTGGACAGTGCTCTGGGCTTGGGAGGAGGCGGCCTCATTGAACCTCCTCTGCCTAGGGGAGCTCAGCACAGCTCAGCAGAGAGCAGAGACCACCTGAGGAGGGAAGCCACGCAGGCTGGGCTGTTCCATTAGCAGGAGGGGTGGGGACAGTCAGGGACGTGCTGCACCAGCCTTGTTTTCCAGAGGACTCTTGGCTGCTCAGTGGGGGAGAGGCCAGGGCTGCAGAGAATCTCCAGGCCCCGCGGCCTCTTTCTCAGCCCTGCCACTTCCTGCAGTGTCTGCTTGGGTAGGGTCTCTGCACCCCAGCGCCTTCTGTGAAGCAGGGTAGTGAGGCTGTCTTGGTTATGCTCCTTGAGGTGGGCATCTCGAGCAGTCAGCACCCAGGTTCCCGCCGCGAAGGGGCACAGCCTGGTCAGACTCAAGCTGCAAGGCACTCAAGGGCAGGGGCAGCCTTGGGTCCCTCTTTCCCACGGAGGGTACTGACTGGTGATCAAGCCATGGGCCAGTGGCTGTGGCCGCTGCTGAGGGACAGGAGGGAGACAGTGTCAGACCCAGCGGGGGGAATCAGTCCATCTGTCCCTCTGGTTCTTAGGGACCTGCGAGTGGGAGTGGCGACAGCACCTTTGTGGGAGCCAGGGAGTACCCAGGAGCAGGAGGGAGGGAGGTTGCAACTGCCCTGCAGGACCCTCCCCGCTGGCCTGGTCCCGCCGTGCCTGTGCTTTCCTGGCAGTGCTCACCCTCCATATGGCAGTTGCTCAAGGTTGGTGGCTGCGCCTGGGAGACCTGAGACTGCTGCCTCCGCGATGGAGAGAGCGTGCAGAGCGGTAATTATAGACAGCCCTGTGCCGGGCCGGCCCAAACCAGTTCGCTCATTCCCAGTGTGGCTCAGAGCTGTGGGATGGAAAGAGTGCAGCAGAGGCAGCTTGGAGGAGGTCAGTGGGGGTGGGACTGTCAGCTGTCACGGGCACTGTCACCCAGGCCCTGCAGCAGGAGACCCAGGGAGCTTTTCTGGGTCTTGTGCAGGAGGCAGAGAGAGAAGGCCTGGTCTCTTTCCCCAGAGGCTTGCGGGTTGCCAGGAGGCCACCTCAGGTGGGCAGCATAAGCCCCGCTGAGCTGGGTTAGGAAGCCTGGGGTCAACCATGGGAGAGACAGCTTGGTAGAGCGGTGGAGCCGGGACATCTTCTGTTCACTTTTCTGTTAAGTTAAAATAGGCTCTAAATCCTCATCCTGGCCTCCAGTGTGGTGCACTCCCTGCCAGTCCCTCTAGCCTGGTCTCTTGCTGCCCCTGCACCACGGCCATCCTGGCCCACTCCTCTTCCTTGAACTTGCCAAGTGCGACCCTGATTAGGGCCTTTGCACGTGCTGTGACCACTGCCTGGCGTGTTCTTCCCTCCTTCCGTGGGTGGCTCCTTACTCACTGAGGACTAAGGGTCAAGGACCCCTCCTCCCCCATCCCCTGCTGCTCGCGATCCCAGTGAGTGGCCTGTTGATCCCCGTTTGTTGAGGGGTGGGCCCTTCCACTTTGCTTACCTCTCATCTCCAGTGCCTGTCACGTAATAAATGCTCAGATGTGCACTGCCCAGAATCTGCGAGTCACTTTCCCCCTCTGGGCACTTCCTTAATCCTAGCAGAAGATGCTGGCACCCCAGAGATGCACTGTCAACTTGCCTTGCCACAGCAGTGGCCAGGACTAGGGTATTTGGGAGGCAGGGGAGGCAGGCTAGGGACCTGCGCAGGTGTTAATTCCCTGGCTTTTCCACTCTGCAGTCAGAACCGTTGACGCAGTCTAAGCTAGGAACAGAGAGTTTCAGCCCAGGCATCCAACGGGCTTTGTGTCCTCTGTCACTTTGAGCCCAGACAAACCCGGCCTGGCTGATGCTGCTCATTGCTGCTCACCAGCTTTGGGCCTCTCGGTTTCTGCTCTGCCCGAAGCCTGAGCTCTTTCAGAGGACGCCTGGGGCTGCATAGGACTCAGTTGTACCCACAGAGGGGTGGGGTGAGCAGACCTGTGATGAAAATCTGAACACAGCCCTTTCAGAAGACGTTTCCAGAGCTGACTGTATGTAGCTCAGCGGTAGAGGGCTTGCCTGGCCTGTGCAGTTCCATCGCCAGCATCACAGAAAAAGAGTATTCGAGGGAGAAGGACCTCCTGAGGTGTTTTGAATTCTCCTCTGCCAGAAGCTTAGCCAGGAGGAGGCCCTGAAGAAGTTGGCCACCTGAGGGGCGGTGGTGGGTGAACGTGGAGGAGCACATGGCTCAGTGCTGCTCCCTGGGCACGGCAGAGGGTAGATTCTGTCCAAGGAAGGCCCTTGATGCGATTTGGATTCAGGAGCCAGGACTATAGCCTCTGCTGCCAGCCCGCCCCACCTCTGTGTTCGTTGGCTGACATGGTGCACACCCCAGTTTTTCCATCCCAGACTTATTCAGTCACCTGAGTCCCCTGGGTCCCCAAAAATCCAAGCTACTTGGGCGGCACAGTATAGGAGGACTATACATCGGAGGCTGCCCAGGCGACTTAGTAAGACCCTGCCTGACACTAAAATTGAAAAGGAGGAGGTCCGGGGTGTCGGGGAGTACGAGAGGAGGGAAGCCTACTTCCAGGCCCACCAGACCTCCTGCACACTCCTCTGAGAGCGTGGGTTAGGGTGGCCGCAGCCGTGGTGGGTGTGGGCGGGGCGGTACTGGCCCAGTGACAGGAGGGAGGTGGGATGGCGGAGACATTCGTGTAGCTCTTAAATGGGGAGGCACCCCCTCTTTTCCTTTTTAAAGAAATAACACAGCTGTTACATCGCTGTGGGAAGAACTTGGTGGGACTCCTGTGTGTGTGAATTTTATTCTGGTTAACACGAGTGAGAGGAGTTGCAATAGTTACGCAGACCACAGGCTTCATGGCCTAGGCCTGGCTGGATTTGGGGGTAAAACAGACGGAAGATAAAGTTGGCACTTTGGGGTTGAGCCCCCCAAGTCGGGAAGAGGTTTATGTGTGTTGCTTGTGGGTTGAGAAACCAGGGTAACACGTGCCCCCATGGCTGGAGGTACAGCTCAGTGGTAGAGCATTTTCCTAGCATGCACGGGGCCTGGAGTGCCATGCACAGCACAACATTTTTTTAAAAATAGTACCCTTACATTTCTCTCTGGGCGCACTGCACAGTTTTTTGAGGTTGGCATTGCCTTTTGGGTAATGCTGTGCCAAATATCCTTGTAACTTTTCCGATTCGTTTTGTAGGATAAATGGCTAGAAATGTAATTCACTGTGGGACTACAGGGTCAAATATAAAGACTAATGTTAAATTATACTTTTTTTCTTGAGTACATAAAACGTGCAGATGGCAGAAACAATTTGATGGTCCTGAGAAGGTGCGGTGACTAAGTCTGCCTCCCACACCTGGCCCTGGTGCTGTACACCTCGCCTTAGAGGGAAGCACTGTTACTAGCTCTTCGTGTTTGTCCAGAAATATTCTGTGTTGATATAAACATGTAATCTGCCTCCCACCTGGCCCTGGTGCTGTACACCTCGCCTTAGAGGGAAGCACTGTTACTAGCTCTTCGTGTTTGTCCAGAAATATTCTGTGTTGATATAAACATGTATGTTTCTATTCTTTTCACCCTCTGTTTTCCTTTTTTTTGGCACACAAATGAGAGCGCTTTATATTTACATCTTACAGTAGTGCGTCTGAGCATGGCTGCACTGGGTTGTATCAGCTCAGTTCAGAATAGGTAACGACACACTCCCAGGGTGGCGGAGACTTTGAGCAACAGTGGCTGTGTGCAAGGCCCAGGACCAAGGCACTGGGGATGCAGCAAGGTGTCGACAGCTGGGCTGATCCCCAGAATGTGCTGCAGGCTCCAGGGAGGAGGCGCTGGCAGGGTGCCCGGCACCCACTGGTCACGCTGCTGCCCAGGCAGGTCGTGAAAGAGACTTTTGGGGGCTGCATGTGGAGGTCAGGAAGCCCCCCAAGAGTGCAGATGGCTGTGCCAGTGTACCTTCAGGGAGGGCACCACAGCAATGGTGCCTCGTGTGCAGGACCGGGGCGCTTGGAAGGCTGGGGGTGGTGGCTTCATAGGCGTGGCGGGGAGGGCAGAGCTCCGCTGTCACTGGGGTAGAATGTGTGCTCTCTCTCATCCTTATCTATTTTCCTTTTTCTTTTTCCCCAGAGGCTCATCCAAAATAGAGGAAGCATGCGAAATCTACGCCAGAGCAGCGAACATGTTCAAAATGGCCAAAAACTGGAGTGGTACGTGCTGTCTGCTACAGCGCTTCCTCCACTCCCCTCAGCGCCCCGTCCGCAGGCCCCACTGCCCACCTGGCAGACAGTCCAGGCAGAAGGATGGAGATCTAGGAACGGTAGAGTGGAGAGAGGTGATGCTGTCGACCACGGTCCTGAGGGACCCACGTGGATGAGCTGTTTGACAGATTTCTCCCTAAACTGAGAAGTTTGGGTTTCCTGGAAACAGTTCTGCCTTGCTTCCGTCAGAGTCAAATTCTGGGCTGGGGGCACATGCAAGAGGTTCCAGTAACAGCATGAATGACAGCCATCATTTATGGGGCCCTCTCCTATCTGTCATGCATAGTTTAATTGCCTCCTCTCAGCCACCCTGGGGTTGCCATTAATCCCCCCATGTAACAGACTAAGAGGCTGAGGCTCAGCTCAGCACCTGCCCAGGGAACCATGACAAGTAGGCAGCACAACCAGGATTCAGAAAATGTCGGTGTCCGCTGTCAGTGGCTGGGCAATTCCCCTGACAAGGCGGCGGGCTCAAGGACTGCGAGTCAGGGTCTGCTTGAGGGAGCTGTAGGGGGGCACCCGTGCCCTGATCCCCGTTAGTGCTGACGCCACAACACGGCTCCCGGCATCAGCAAGATTGGATCAAGGAAATGGAGAGCGAGACAGTTTGGGAAGCTGGGGAGAGCACTTGGACACAGATGAACCTGGGGGCGGGTGGGGTGCCGAATTTCAGGGTAGACGCAGTCCTCATCGTGGCTTGAGAACCCCTCAGCTGGCATCCTGAAAATTAGAAGAACTTTCCCTGACGTTCACCAAAATGCATGGTACATATGGCCTAGTGCTGCGTGTATTTTTATGCTTCCAAGCTGATAAAGGGCCTTCGGGAATGCCTATTTTTCAGTCACAGGTATGTTGCTTTTCCCCTAAAATGTGCTACCATCCCGCCTTCCACAGTTCCAACAGAAGTCCTAGGCCACGTTCTCTCCGATAGCACCCCTGCTCCTTGAAACTCGGAGTTCAGATGCGAAGCTCTCTGCAAGACAACATAGTGCAGCCCCAGAGAGAGGAGGCCCTGGTGCCTCCAGAGCTGGTCTAGGAGACGTCTGGACAGGATGGCTTAGGACCCACAGAAAGTGGCTGTGTGCATGAGCTCAGAGCAGATAGGACTTCCGGTGTGAGCCCTTTTCTGCGTGTCCAAAGCTGTCTTCCCTCTGATTGCCCCACACATGCCTCCCAGTTAGCGTAGTGCTCCTGCCCAGTGTGCAGTGGGGCAGAGCACAGAGCTTAAGGATTCGGCGAGACGAGCACTGGAGAGTTGTTGGGGAAAGAAAGAGGAGCAAGTGGACTTCATCTCGTGTGTCCCCTCTTCCCGGACACCCGCTCCGACCCTGGCCCCCATCTCCCCGGCCTCTACTTGGCCTCTGGTAGAGAGGACAGCCAAGGCAGTGGTGCTGGAGCGGCCTCACCCTGGTTTCACGTCCTTCCGGGCTGTCGTCTCTGCCTGCCTTCTCCTCGGACCTTTACAAAGTGGTGGCCCTGGAGATGTGGGCAAAGCCAGGTCAAAGGACACGGGCTCGCCCTGGGTCTCTGGGTGAATCACCGCGAGCTCGGGTCTAGGCCTCTGCTGGGCGTGCTCACCTGGGCCGGTCCCAACCTCTCTGTCTCTGGGCCTCTTTCCGTATTCTTGAGAGCCCAAACCCCCTCCTCGGCAGTGTCTGTACGCAGCCTTTTTCTCTTTTCTCTTCCAGCTGCTGGGAACGCTTTCTGCCAGGCCGCCCAGCTACACCTGCAGCTCCAGAGCAAGCACGACGCAGCCACCTGCTTCGTGGACGCCGGTAATGCCTTCAAGAAAGCTGACCCCCAAGGTGAGGGCCGCTGGGGCCACACACTGACCGCCGGAGCAGCTGAGCATTCTCCAGGTCCTTGGGTGTCCGTGTGACTCTGGTTTTCCCAGTAGCCGACGTGTGACAGGCAGGAGGCACAGAGCCTGAACTTCAGAGCTGGCTCCCCTCCTGCGGCTGGCACTGTCCTGCTCCAGTCCCGCCTCCCTCCCCTGGGATGCGAAGCCTGTCGCTCCCCTGCGAGCATTTGGGAGTGGGAGTTACATTTCAGACCCTCCGCCTGCCAGGGAGCGAGGCAAAGCTGTTCTGTTGTCAGAATTAACATGCAGAAGGGAGCGGGGGTGTTCTAAGACCAGCCAGGTAGGAGTCATTGCCGAAAAAGGAGCGGAAATTATCCTAACCTGGCTTCCCTACACCCTGGGGAGAAATCAGTGAGAACAGAGCCTCAGATGGAGTTGCCAGAGAACAAGTTCCTTAAAACAAGAGCATGCAGGGACAGCAGCTTGGTTGGGAAGATAGCCTCCCTGGACTCTTCCTGAGGCAGAGAATCCCAGCTTGTGGCCCCCAGATGCTGGGATTTTGTGTGGTGGGAATTTTGTTTTTATTATTTGTTTATGTATTTTTGTGTGGTGCTGGGGGTGGAATCCAGGGCCTTTGCATGTGTTCTACCACTGAGCTACATCTCCAACCTTAGGAATTTTGTCTTTTAAAATGTTAGGGCCAGACATAGGTTCTAACCTTTAATTTCAACAAACGAAAGCCTCTTTTTTTTTTTTTGGATACCAGGGATTGAAACCTTCCACTTGCAAGGCAGGCCAGGCAGGCCACGGAACCACTGAGCTAAATCCCCAGTGCTTAGCAAAGACATTTTTAACATAGCCATCTTGTGTCAGAGTATCCTCTGGGAGAGTGGAGAATTCTTTTTTAAGGAGATAGTTATTGTGGAACAAAGGCTGGTCCTTGCCAGGAGAGGCCACTTTGCACAGGTTTCTCTGCAGCCCCACGCACTGCCTTACCTAGTCGGGTCTGTGCTGTGTCCTGACTGACAGGGCCAGTCCCCTGCGAGAGAGCCGATCTCTGTGGACCAGGGTCTAGCCCCTCCTTCACTGGCATCTCATAGATGTGGGCCTGAGTGGTCAGGTGCTGGGGCCTGGGCCAGGCAGGCTCAGATGCAACGGCCCGTGATGGTTGGGCCCCAGCAGACCTCGTGGGCGAGTAGATGACCTGGTGTGACCCTAGGTTTGTTTTCCGGCTGGAGTCACCCTAGGAGTCTCTTGTCCTCCGCAGAACCTTCCCCCCAGCCTTCCCTTCTGCTCCCTGGGGAACTGGTTGGCCTGGTGATGCTGCCTAGCATCTGCCGCTCAGCTGCTGCCCCATCCGGAGTGACTGGAAAGACTTGTTTCTGGGGTGGCAGCTGCCAGGCTGCCTGACTGTGGGCACCATGTGTGCCTTCCGCAGACCCTGCTTTCCTGCAGGCAGGCCTGGCCTGAAGGGCTTGCGCTGATCCCTGCCCTGACCTGAGAGTGCAGGTGGGCCTGGGGCGGGCATGGCTCCCGCTGGCCTTAGAAGCACGGAGTGTCACACGGAATGTGGCTGAGGAGGCTCAGAGCAATGGGAGGGCATTAAGGTTGCCACCTGGGTGCCAGGGACTTGGCTAGGGGCCCCTCAGGGAAGGGGAGGACGCAGCTGTGAGCAAAGAGCTGGCTGTGTGCAGCCCCAGGACTCGTGCCGAGCAGCCCCGCTGCCTCCAGGTGCCCTCCCTGCGCACATCCTCTTGGGGTGTGACCGGTCCAGGTGTGAGCATGTTTGCATGGAGGTGGCAGCTGCTTTGTCTGAGGTCAGTCGGGGTGCACAGGGAAGGGTGCGGCAATTGAGCGATGTCTGGGAGGATCGCGTGACCCTGGCCAAGGCACTTCCTCTCTGAGCCCCTGTCCTGTCCTGCTTTAGCGCGTGGCGCTGCCATGGGCCCACGTACAGATCTGCCCAGGGTGGCACCAGGCCCTTTGTGCTCAGGGTCCAGCGGGTGCGTGGCCCTGGCTGGTGGAGTGGAGCTCCACCTGCCCGGTTTCCCCTCCCTGGGGCCTTCACTGCCAGTCTCGCCCAGCCTGACAGCCTTGTCCGGCGCCCGTCCTAGAGGGTCTCCCTGCTGTCTCCTGCAGATCAGCTCCCCAGCCCGCCGCTGCACCTGCTCTCTGCGGAGGGAGCTACTGCCCCATACGGGCCGGTGATGCCTCGGTCTCCTCACCACAGCCAGCTGCTCTAGGTGGACTCTGGCCAGGAGGCCCCTTCCCTGGCTGACCTGGTCACTGGGGCCTGGCACAGGGAGTGGTCCGGCCCCTCACGCGCTGTCACTTGCTAGGTGCCTAGTGCACACCAGACACCTGCATCTCGGACGCACCCCATTCCTGTCTCGGTTCTCTGACTTGTCCCTGTTTCGTTGAGGAATAGGCGCAGACTGAGTCCTAGGTATGATGGAGGCTGCGGCTGGGTACATCCTGCGGGCAGGGAAGTGATGCCCCCAGGCTCAGGCCAGGGAGCACTGAGCAGGCAGACTGCAGAGGGCAGGGACAGACCACGGATGCCCAGAGCCTGGAAACAGAGATAAGCCCAGTGGCAGTGAGTGTCAGGTGCTTATCTGAGAGCTGCCCAGGGTGTCAGCTGGCAGCCTGCCACTTTCCAGGACAGCTGTTCCCGGAGCGAGGAGCTGGCACGAAGAGGCCTTAGCCCTGAGCATCTGTGTTCCTCCCCCGCGGCCACCGCAGGCGCCGCGCCTCACTGACAGTGCCCTTGCTGGCAGGCTGGGAGCAGCTGCTTCTCTTGCTGGGGTGCACCCTTTGCCACCTTGGCCTGCTGGGGGCCGGGACGGAGAGCCGCGAGTGGCTGGGCCCAGTGGGGGCTGCTGCCGCCGCCTCCTCCCCTGCATTGGCCCAGCTGGCTGCTCATCGTCCTCCTGGACCTGCTTGGTTATAGAGCGAGTGTGCAGGGAGAGGATTAACACTGCCCTGGGCTCCCGTTTTGTTGACGCGTCCGCTCCCTTTGCCCCTCCTCTGCCCGCTTTACTCCTTTTCCTGCTGCCTCAGGCTCCCCACCGAAAGCCTGGAGCCTTCCTGAATGGTGCGCATTCTCTGTGTCTTCTTTGAGCCCCTGGAGGCTTTCAGAATTGGGCGGAGCCTACACACTCCCGGAGCAACACTCAGATACTGCTGTGTGCATGTACTTTCAGGGACATTTGGGGACTGCTCAGCCTTGAGAGTGACTTTGGTGCCAGTGCCCGGCCAGGGGCCCAATGCCAACAAGTGCTGGGTGGCTGCTTCCTGGTGGCGGTGGCATCCTCCAGGGGTGTCCAGGAACCAGGAAAAGCCCTGCAGCCTGCCCAGGCCCTCTGCCCTCTGCCCCTCTTGTCCTCCCTCCCTAGCAGCCTTTTGAGATGCATTAAAATGGTGTTTTTTAAAATTCTACCCTGAGAGCTCATTTCTATCTGCTAGAAATTGCCACCCACTCGTGCTTTTCTCTCCTCTGAATAACTTGTCAAAAAAAAAAAAAAAAAATTTTCCC